AATTGGTAATTTAGTTTCTTGGTTATATCGTGTAGTTATTCAGTCGCCTTCCATGTTTAGTCTCTAGATTGGAGCCCAATATTCTCCGAAAACTGCTTTGAAGAACAGTGGTGTGAAAACCTTGGGCTTCACTTGAGCGACGGTATATCATCACAGCTTCAGAGCTGGGAATTAGAACAACGGTTTAGAATTTTATTTGCTGGTGGGTTAGCTTTTTAATTGTTTATTCATTTGTTTATTTCTATATTTACTAAATTATTCATCCAGTCACTCGTTCAGCTATCATTTCCTCACTCATTTCCTGATTTTACAGTTTCTTTTTCATTACTGATAGTTTATATGGCATTTATATGTCTATTCTTTATTTTCTTTTTCAAAACAAGCCGTTATTTATAATACACATTAAGTCTGGATGTTTTAATGGATTATTTATCAATTTCCTCATTTGCCAGTTGTTTTCGTTTCGTTCATCCTCTTCATATTAGACATTTAGCATATTAATCCTGGACTTCCCATCCTAGTTTACATCTTTAGAGTACAGTTGTAGTTATTAAACTACTGTCACAGACTTCAGAAAACTTTCACATTAATCTGGGGCCCGTTTCTCGAAAGCCCCGGAAACTTTTCGGGCCCGCAGAGCCATTTTTAGTTAATTGGTATTTAAAGATAAAGAAGTGTATACACCTGAAACTTCGTGTATGAAGGGAACCTCTGTTCCTATTGCGAATATGTGAGTAAAACAGCTCTGAAGTCATAAGGTTTGAGATTTTGCTACGGCTTTTCGGGTGCGAAAACTTTTTGGGACAATCGAGAAACGGGCCCCTGGAGTCAAAAGACAATCGCTCAACTGTAGGTCCCTTACTTTTTAAGCTACACATAAGTTGCCTTTCTAGATAAAGCAGCTAATGTTTCGAGTGTTAGTACTTCACATACATGCATATTTCATCAGAGCAACATGAAAGCATACTCTTGAGGAATAATTAAAGTGTGTTAGTCACATCCGATTTGAGAAGCTTGCTTAGAACGGAATTTGTTTTTGTAGCCAGAACTAAACCGCAATTACTTGTTGTTAAAAATAACAAGACTTAGTCTGTCGACGTTTCGACATGAGGTCACGCAACATCTATGCGCAATAGTCATTGACAAAATTATTGCGTGACTTAATAAAGAGATCACTCGTAAGGTAGCACTAGTCGTGCGTGATCGGTAAGTCACACTTACCCTGCAGTTGAGCTGCTTTGTGGGAAATGTGGCATTTGTCCTCGCTCCTTCTTGTGCTTCTTCTTCATTAAGAATCTCCCTAAAGAAGACTGAATAGAATAGTAGGTTATTCAAAGCAGATTATGCCGCGCACACAAAGCTAACCATTAAAACCATTATTAATTGAGGTCGCCTCCCCTATAAGCCTGGTGGTTTTCCGGAGGTCTCCCCGAACAATTTAAATCACCGTAACTAATAAGTAATTCTTTTTTCACGGCAAATAATCAAAGATGACGAAGAAAATGGCTTCATCAAAGATTAATAGTGAAAACCTCACCTTGTGAAAATGACACTTTCGGGACAGAGACTACACATGAAGTGGAATTTCATTCGTTCCATGTAAAGACACGCGCGTTCGTCGCGCGAGAAACTAATACACCAGAAGTACGTCATCGTGAAAGCTTCCTTGTCACAGATAACGAGCAAAGGAAGCGTTCAAGACAATAATGGCGACACTGAAGTTAGCATACTTGTAACATGCCGATATAATTAAATAAGTGTAGAATCAGATAAATTTAAACTCGCTAAATTCAAAACTCATTTGTGGACATTGAGATAAGGCCTAGACCAATCGCAGAAGGCACAAATGAAATTAAAGATAATTTTTTATGACATAGTGAAGAAAACGGTAAATTGTGTCAGCTTCTCAGTGTTGTTCTTCATTTTTTTTTTTTTTTTTTTTTTNTATCGCCGACCTTTACCCAAACACTCATTGCCGACTTTAGCTTTGCTTCAAACAGTGCTTTCGCGTGATTGTTTGCCCGGGATATATGACCTTGTGAACGCTTTCTACGAATATTGTACTCTAGACAAATCTATAAAATATTTAAAATTAATTCGTAATTCAAACAAACACCAGTGTCTAATGCGAGGAACAGACGCGTCGACCACATCTCATTCAAAACAACATTAGGCAAAACTGAAGTAATTACCAACTGGAAGTTTATTTTGTAAATAGGAGTCTCTTGTTCTTAGTGTGTGGTCAACCTTTTCAAAATATTTATTTACGTTCAACTTTAAAAATTAATCCTTGCTGTGGACACAAATTGGGTCTCAACAGCGCTAAGTAATTCATCTTTAATAGCTTGTACACCAGAAATAGAATATCAAGTTCTATCTCATGTTTTCAAATTTAGCAATTTCACTTTTCAAAGCATCCGTGGAAACCGGCATCAAAACAGCGATACCAAGGTATTATACTTCAATTTTCATATCAGCGGAATTTCAAAATATTGCGTAAAAATATCACACGGTATCTAAATTAGACACATTTCCGTGGGCAATATCTCTTTGAAAAATCAGCCAATCAATTATGTTATCTTAGTCTTTCGAATCAAGATCGAGTTTGACATGTCTGCAATCGCATGACCTTCGGGCAAATAATCAGTACATGCTTAATCGAAACCGGTTTCACAGACAAGCGTCCGTGGACATATTAAAAATATTAGACTTGGGCGGAAGGGACGCACTTGTACGTGGATGAAATCTAGAACATGCCTCCGATCCTATTTTCAAGCTTCAAGATTTCCACCAGCGTTTCGTCGCAACGTCAAATTTTCGCTGGAAAAAGCCGTTACATATTTCCTCAGAGGCAGAATCGTCTGAGAAACCATAGCTTTCTGAGATGACTTGGAAAACAAGAAGCGAATTTCGAAAGGAAGTTTCCCTAGTACAGGTCGTGAACCGAGGTAGAACAGGTTTAAACTGCTGCTGACAAGTTTCTTTTCGTCCCTCCGGACAACTTTACGTCGATTATTCCTGTTAGGTAAGTATGGTTCAAAAAAACAACTCCTTAGAAAGACACGTTTGAAACCCAATCAATTCCCCTTGACTATAATTACGAATACACATCCAGAATTTATTTTCCATAAACATTATCGAATACGGTTATTGATTCTGATATTAGACTTGTAAGGCCAGAAAACGTACATTTTCTCTTTCTTTGAAACTTGCTTAGGGTTACAAAAACAATTCAAGAACAAAACTAAACCACAGAGACGAGAGTTGTCGTTTATAAAAACCGGCACGATCAACTGTGAAGAAACCACTAAACATTTACCTTTAACTCTAGTTAATTCTCAAAGTACGGCGGTAATGTTTAATAGTGGTGTTAGAAAACACAAAACGAAAACAGTTTTCAGCAAAAGAGCGAGAGATTTTTGAAACCTTGCCTCTTTACACCGTATTCCTAGAATTGATTTATGCCTGGAAAACAACTTGGAAAATATTTCCGCAGGGTATTATGCAATATGCAGAAATATTGTCAAAAATATTCTCGAACACTCTTTGGTAATACTGCACCCACAAACAATATGTCTACAAAAACAATACGACAACATAGCAGAAGAGTTGCAGATATTTCACTTCACCCAAGCTAGAAACTTGTATCTCATTAATGTGTAATGCATTTAAAGATGCTTTAAAAAGCGAACTGCCACCAAGGGGACCTAATCTATGAATGGTTTTGTTTACTCTGATGAGTCCAAAGCGGCGGAAATAACCCTATAAACACTACAGCCAGCTGTACTGATATACANTTTATGCCTAGAAAACAACTTGGAAAATATTTCCGCAGGGTATTATGCAATATGCAGAAATTTTCTCAAAAATATTCTCGAACACTCTTTGGTAATACTGCACCCACAACAAATATGTCTACAAAAACAATATGAAAACATAGCAGAAAAGTTGCAGATATTGCACTTCACCCAAGCTAGAAACCTGTATCTCATTAATGTGTAATGCATTTAAAAATGCTTTAAAATGCGAACTGCCACCAAGGGGACCTAATCTATGAATGGTTTTGTTTACTCTGATGAGTCCAAAGCGGCGGAAATAACCCTATAAACACTACAGCCAGCTGTACTGATATACAAACTCTCAACGATGGTGGCAGACAGTTTCTTGGAACGAAAAGAATTGGTTTAAAACAGTAGACTGGCTAATACAACATTCTTATCTGTGATAACTTGTGCAAACAAAACTCAAAAGAGACGATCTTCTTAATCAAGCTTTCACGACACACTCACACTAGACAAGACTTAACCGACTGTAAAAGTAATTTTCTACGACCATGGCCTGGATGCTCAAACTATCCAGTCAGTCATGTCATTTATAAACATATTAGTAAAAATCGGAATATCTTGTCGGAATATAATGGAAACTGCTGTACCCTACAGCTGTAATGCTGTTTTCTATTGGACGAGAACGTATCACGGGATTCCCCTCAAAGCTGTCTAACTCGCGCGCTGGGGCAAAAAAACACTCACTAATCTCCAGTACGGCCAAAACGGCTCGAACCTTGAACTTGCACGTGATTAGGACGCACGCCTAAAAACAAGGAACGAGAAGCCATCCGACGTTGTGGACCAAAGGGTAAGTTATTATTCAATGTTTTGCAGGTGATCGGGAGTCGACCGTTGAAATACAAAATTATTTCAGCATGCAAAAATTTCATTTGACCCAAAATGATGTACAAACTCCAAAGCTACATTGAAGTGTCTACATCCTAGACAAAAAATTCGCTCACTGTTACATGGCTGGAATATTTTTTCCCAACAGCAAGGGCATCACATAGCATCTAACAATGGCATCTAACGATATCGCCGGCCTAACAGGCGTAAAACGCGGGTAATGAATAGGGGAGACGATAAACACCATCTGCGCAAAGGGGAATGGAACGTCTCTTTCCCAGCCTCCTCTCTCACCTTTTCGCTTCCTGTTACGCCAGCTATAGTGACTAGTAACAGCGAACCGTCACATTGACTCAATTTCCTTTACTTTTCACGAAAGGCAAACGTATTCTTCTTCGTTGTTGTATCCGGGGAGCCTGGCTAAACAAAGGCTAACCACATTTGCGTTTTTTTTACAACTTGTTCATCAATTTAAACGAGGCTGAGAACCGAGAGAATTTGTCGTCGCTCAAGTCTGCGTCGCTTAGGGTCTCACAAGTCTCGAAACAAAACGAATTTTGATTTTTGTTTACATCTTTGTAAACAAGAAATTTGCGATTCCACGAATCTACGATGTACTTTCAGTCAAACCAAGTGAAGCGTACCCTTCAAGATTACATTAATGAATTGATTATTTGAATATGGTACCCGCTAGTCGTTTCAAGAATACAATAATGAATTGACTATTTGAATATTAAAATCGCTAGTCATTTCCAAAATGAATAGCAAATTGAGTTTTTTGAACATTAAATCCATTAGCCGTATTCTTGGAACGACTAGTGGATCCAATTTTCCATTAATCAATTCATTATTGCATTCTTGAAACGACTAGCGGGTTCAAAATTCAAATAATCAATTCATTAATATAATCTTGAGGGGTAGGCTTCGCTTGCTGTGACTGTAAAGGCTTTTCAAGATTGGGAAACAAGTGGTGCATCTAGTGCATGAGCCATAGTTCTAACAAAATTAGCAGTGCTTTGTTCTGCCGGCCTAGCAGCATAACCCCCTCTAGACAAGCCCTCGCCCATGTGATAAATAAAAAGAACGATAACAACGACACAAATAACCAACAACAAAGCAGTGCGTACGGATAAGCCGATGACGAGGTTGGGGAGTGGGGAAGGACATTATTGATGCGGGTTGAGGTTGAGACATCCCATGAAATGAAGAAGAATGATAAAACAAAACAGCAACACAAACAACAACAACAAAGCAGTGCGTACGGATGGAACGATGATGAGGTTGGGGAGTGCAGTGGGTAGGGACGTTTTTGGTGCGGGTTGAGGTTGAGACATCCCTTTAAATAAAGAAGAATGATAAAACAAAACAGCAACACAAACAACAACAACAACAAAGTAGTGTGTATGGATAGGACGATGATGAGGCTGGGGAGTGGGGAGGGATGTTTATGGTGGGAGTGCAGGTTAAGACCCCCCTTTAAGTAAAGAAGAACGATAAAACAAAACAGCAACACAAATTAACAACAAAACAGTAATTACCGATCTCGATCTCGTTTTCTCTTCTGATGATTCATTTTTGCTGCCCTTTTCGTTGTTGCTGTACTGACTGGCTAGCATCACACTTGGTGTGGAGCTGGTAGAGCCGAATTTACTGTGCACTGATCCGTAACCTGACGACTCCGATGATGTATCTACATGAGAAACAATACCATATCAGCGTCTATATTCTCCTTACAGCTCTCTATAAATTTCTCATAGCATAAGTTGAAAGAATTTGAATAGTTCCCGTTTTCTTGAGATACGCGAAGAGAAACGTGTTGTGGAGTAAGCTACTGTAGTATATACTCCAAAGTCTGGAGAGGATAGCAGGAGACACAAGCAGAAGTGGACACCCTAGCTTATCATATGTAGGAGCATAAAAAAATAAGATTCTGAAATACTCGTGATCGTCCTTTCCAAAAGAGCACTAGCATATTAAGAAGAGCAAACCGTTGCCCCGTTGACCGTGCCTAGCGATGTCGCGGTTTTCACAGCAAGGGCATGCGTGCACATGTTTTTGCTCGCATATGTTCACACATACATTTTCCTGAAATCAATGAATTACGAGGGAATTATAATCCACCCATCATTTATTCACAGCCGCAAAAGCTGCTATCAAGAAAACGGTCAATAAATAATCCAAGAC